AAACCTTTCTGTAATTCAGCCTAGTTCTATATCAAGAAAGAATTTAGAATTTACTATTTCTGTGATAGTTAATTACAGAAATTAACTATACCTAAAAGCAGAAGGCCAAAACATTTTCAAGGGCTTTCACCATTTAGGAAAGAATGAACAAAGTCACATGTGGTGATAATTCTGTTCCAGCAGCTCTTGGGCTCCACAAAGAATAACAGTTATTTCTGATGATTCCTCTTCGTACCAGAAAATGTTGCAGAGTGAGATTTTTTTTTTTTTTTCCCCTGGCAGGATATGAAGGAGCTCCTTACAACAGTTGAGAGAGAAGAGAAGCAGTGTGTGATGATAAGCCTTATAAGCTTATCAAGAATTAGGATCTTTTGCTTTCAGTTATTGCCATGACACAGATTTGTATGAAATTTTTATCTTGAAATTACTGGAGCTGCAGTGGATCATTCTTCAGCTGTAATCTTATTACAGTTTCTGAGCACATCTGAAAGGTGATCTCTGAGATATGATACCTTGCTGGGTGAGGAGGACAGAAAATGTTTTCCGTTTCTTAGACTGTTGACTCCCTCATCAACAGAAAAGTTTAATGTCTGTAGAAGTTGGAAGCTGACCAGATCCATGTCTTTCCAAAAATATAATGATAGTTGGAAAACGGTTAATTGCTCTTGTTTTTGAGATGTTAGATCACAAAATACAATGCAGTGAGATACTGATAATGGAACACTTTGCAAATAGATTGACATTCTTGAAAGTATTTTCTTTTTATGAGGTCTTCTTTTTGGTAGCTCAATTAAATGTAGGCATTCGTGTTTTTTAAGTGGTCTTGTTACAGAAATGAGAGAACAGTTTTACACCTAATCGTATCTGAGGTCCTTTCTGGTAGGCTTATATGTCTTATGATTTCCATTACGACATAGAGACAGATATGTACCATGTTCCGCCGTGATTACATATTCCCTCTGTTTAATCAGTCACTACTAGTTTTTGTTCCAAACACTTCTAATTTGGATTACCCTTCTGATAATATAAGGAACCTCTCCTTGCTATTTTTGAAATTTTAATTTACTTTTCTAATTTTCTGTTTCAAAGATATTGCTGGCAATAGTTCTATGGTACAATTGTTTTCATCATAAGAAGTGATCACAGAGGGAGGAAAAGCAAGAATAACAAATGTAGTGGTGTCATCCAGTACACAGTAGCCAATTTCTCACAAAAGAAGCCTTACGCACGCAATGCTGAACGTGCCCTTAATTTGATGCAGTAGCATGGCTCGTTCTGAACTTTCAAGATGGGTGTATGCTCTGCCATACTTGCATGATCACTGTGGCCAAGACAGCTTATCACAAGTGTAAAATCAACCATTTGCTTGGATGCTTGCACGAGAAGGTTCCGTAAATTTATGTATGAAAATTCTGACTTGCTCTCTCCTTTTATGGTGCTGGTTAAAACCCAAAATAAAAAGGAATCTGTCCCACATCCAAAATTTTAATTAACATTTGGCTTTCCAAAGCTTGTCCCTCATATTTATTTCTTTGAACTTTTTTAAAAGGTAAAATAAACCAATAGAGCTATTTAGATGCACAGAAGATCCATGGAAAGAAGAGGAGGGAGGATTGTAAAAAATACATGCATAACTTAAAAAAGGATCTCAAACATTAAATATGTAATCTTTTTACAGCAAGCATCACAGGCATTCTGTTATCAGTGCTGGACTGATAACATTGGAATGAAGGGGAGGAAAGAAGGCAAAGAGAGTTTAGGAAAAACAGAACAGGATAGTTTAAAAAAATAAAAATAGTATCTTCAAATCTTTGGGGCTGGTGACATCTTTCATCAAACAACATACACTATAAAGATTTTTTTTTTTTTAATTTAAATTTGCCAGTGTATACCACAGGGAGATGATTTAAATTATGGTTATTCTATGGACTCAAGATTTTTATCCAGATTAAATTAAATCCCAAATCCTGTTTATCCGGTCCATGCATAATTATGTGGAACTGTTTTTATCAAAATATATTATGAAATGAAACATAATCAAAAAGATGTAGAAATGTAGCAGAGGGGAACAAATGAACAAATAAACAATATTCTCAGCATATTTCACCAGCAGATCTTTAAAGCTACTTTAAAGTTTAGCCATTTCAAATGCACATAAAATATTATCTTCTGGTTTTCAATATAAATGTAGGATTTTGTTTAGGAAATCAAGTTTATTTAGTCTTGGGTGGTATTATTCCTGAGGTTAAAAATTGGGGTTTTTTAAACTTTTCTTGAATTGTTAAGTAAACTATTGATTATAATTAAAAACACCTTTTGACACATATTCTCTAACATTATTTATATATATATGTGTGTGTATACATTGCATGTGCATATATATATAAAATGTAAATTATTCATGCATTTTATATTTCAAAGGAGAAAGAGGACTGAGTTTTTGAATTTTATTCAGTTTTTGGTCATGAAATGAAAAAGAAAGACATTGGATCAAATTCTGCCTTCAAATATTTGCAAAATACTCCCAGTAAATATTGTCAGGAGTCAACCACATTTGTCTGAGGACAGTATTAGCTCTTTGGTGTATAAATGCAAATATTTCATGCAAAATTAAGTTAATACCACATGCAAATCTATCTCATATGCACATGGCTTATAGCCAAGAAAACTTCATTGGTGCTTGTGCTAACATGCATATATGGTTTGAACTAAGAGCATTCACGCAAAGGAAAATGCAGAATGATCAGCATGGCAACTTTGTCAGAGTGACATTCCTACAGAGCAACCATCTAATGCAAACAAATATGCACATGACCTTTTTTGGGCAGAGAAGCATGATTTGAGTTGTGGGGTAAAACAGTGATAGGTAAATACGGTTAGATTAACATTTCTTAATGTCTAATTTTTAGTAACCATTTTGCCCCACATCTGATTCTTCTTGGATTATTTCCCTTTGCTATCTACCCCTTCATCATGCAAAAAGTTACAATTAAAATTAGAAAGCATTGAACAAGCTCTAAACTTGACATATAACATGGATATTCTCCACACTTTATACTGGAATTAAATTTGATATAAATACCTCCTGCTCTTACCAGTGGGTGTTGTTATTCCATGTATTTAGGTATGAAGCAAACAGGAAAGAGATAAATCTTTCATAAGTACAACATAAATCACACAGTTCTTATTTTATCCTTGCACTAAGTGTAATATATTCAAACTCACTTTTTAAGAAAATTGACTGCCATAAAACTTGAGGGATAGAATTATGAACAGAATAAGACATAAAATGTAACAAAATGATTTTTTTTCACATTTTATTTAAAACAAAGCCTCCATACTGCCTCACAATCATATTGCAAAATATGGGCTGTTTAATCCATTTAGTTAGTATTTCACATTAATGACAAATCCAAGACTAATTCCAGTACACCAATTCCTGCATCATGCAAAGTTCATGCTGACCACATTCACTTTTACTTACTATTTCATGTGAAACAGGTGTTCTTAGTACATCCATTAGTGGTAATGAATTAGTTAAGGCATACATGATTTTGTAATATCTTCAGAAATAATTCAATGAGCTGCTTTAGGCTTAGGTAGCACACTCCTGCAGCTTAAGGGCCTGATCCTGCAAAGTGCTGAGTACCCCACAATTCCATTGCCATCAGAGGGAATTAGGGCCATTCAGTGCCACACAGGATGAAGCTACTGCTGCTGCTTTCCACCGCAGTAATCCCCAGCAGAGGTTTATTCAAGTATCCTTGTCCTGTGCTGGGCATTATGTCCCTCTGGAAGGGACACTCATGGAAGTGGGAGGTCAAGCCCAATATGTTTAGTTTGCTGTTTAAGATCTGCTTTACTTAATGGTAACCATAAAGTTAAGCTCTCAGTGATTCAGCTTTATAAAACCTTTTAATCAAGACCCACTATTTCTGCTTACTGCATAAAAGTGTACCACACTGACAGTCGTCCACAAATGTATGTATAGATACCACATGGAAGCTGTTTGGAGGTTGGTTTCTAGTTAAATTGTTATAAAAATTATAAATTTTCTTATTCTTGCCAACTTTATGGAGATCTCTGCGAAGTCTCTAATCTACAACTCAGAATAGCGCTGGAAAGCATCCGTCCAGAGACACAGATTCACAGATCTTAAAATGCACAATGCTCTCAGTTCTTCAAACCTATGTCAGCTTTTCAGAAAAGATGTTGCTGTCTCCAGAAAATAAGCCAGAACTATGGATGCTTTTGCATTTTGTGATTCCTTTTTAGCTGGCCACATAATATATTTTCTATATGGACCGTCTACAGATTTGTTATTTTTTTATCAAGAACAGAAAAATATGAGTGCTGTACCTTGCCACTTCCTAGGAATGAGGTTCTGTGGATTGCTAAATGGTTAGTAGTACTATGTTGACTTTCATTGCAGAATTATGTGGTTGTGAACTCAAGTGAACTGCTGTTCAGACTATCATATGATTAGAATATTTCACTCTGAAAAAAGCAGCTAATCCGCCTGCCAGCTCCTCCTTCTGCCGACCCCCAATATACCTGTTCTAGACAACACAATAGGATTTTGAAAAAGAATAGATCTCCACAGGTTTTATAGAAGAGTAATTCTGTAGATAGGTACTCTTGTTTGATACTGGAAGTGGAAAAGCAGGCCAAAAACCAAGCAAAATTCTGGAACAGCTATGTCTGAAATAAGAAAACTATTTTTTTTGTTTTTGGTCTTAATTTTACAATAGTCAACTGCAGTTCTCAAGATTTCCTATACACAGTGAGTTCAGTTTTCTGATACAGCTGGTAATAATCTACACAGTTAAATGATTGGATGTCTAATTTGTAATGGCTTGGTTTCAGTAATTGCTATATATCAACCTTTTTAAGCTTGTAATTTTAGAGCTTATAAATAATGAAGGCTTAAAATCTCTTTCTAAATTCTCCTGTGTTTATCTATTCCTCAGCATCCGTGCCTGAAAAACAGAACAACATACCATGTTCATGTCAATGCCATTGGTGTATGTCCACGCATGCTGGAAGTATTCCTCAAGTCGCTGCCGCAGAGGGTTGGGGATTTGATGAAAGCGTATAAACTCCTTCACCCTCAGCATTTGCATGTGATACCGTGCAGTTCCCGAGTAGAGTCTTTGGATTATTGCAGATACGTTTCCAAAAATACTCGCGTACATTAATGCTGGATGAAATAGAAACAAAACTTAAGTCATATAATTAGGCTTGCACATGATGCAACAGTTCTTATGATGTACTTTCTATGTAGAACAGCTCAGATGAGAGTAGTAACATTTTTGGAGATGTGGAATTGATTTACCTGAAGCTTTTTATTGATTTGATTGTATCAGTACCAGCTCAGTTAGCAGAAGAGGTTTAAATATTAAACCATAATCTAGTTGGTAATATTTATCTTTGGAGATATGTAGTCCTGAATTTAGTGTTGTAAATCAGGTTCATCTACTTTTACAGAGTTCAGTAGAACTAAGAACCAGGAACTAAGGTTAAGTACATGTTAAGAACAAAGGGCAGAGTTAAGAAGGTATGCATACATTCATAGGTTCAGATTATGTAATTATGATTACAAATAAAATGTAATTATGATTATCCAGAAACAATGGGCTCTAGTTTCCTAAATCCACTCAAAACTCAACTTCATACCCTATAAAAGATTTGCTTACAGACTATGATACACAACACAAAACTTCTGACATTTTGGATAAGAGATTTTGAGTAGTCAAGCAACTTCACTACTTCCTGACACTGAGTCACAACATATTTTTGCATATAACATTGCTTTCCCTGGGAATGTGCCCTCCTGGCTGCATGCTTATGATCTTGTTGGCTTAGATTGTTAAGTCTTTTGCTCAAACACTTAGAGAAAAAGAAAAAAATTATTAAGCTATAACTACTTACAGCCAATCAACATGACACAGATGGAAAAGATTTTCTCTGAGTTGGTATTTGGAGACACATTTCCAAATCCTACACTTGTCAGACTGCTGAAGGTAAAATAAAGTGCTGTAACATATTTGTCCTTGATGGATGGTCCAGAGCTTGCATCACTCTTGTTGTAATGCTTTCCTAATTGTTCTCCTAAAGAATCCAACCAGCCAATCTTGTGAGCCAAGTAAGGTCTTTCTACATTTCCAATGGCATACCAAATGCAAGCAAGCCAGTGTGCAATCAGAGCAAATATGCACATAAGGAGCATCAGAACTGCAGCACCATATTCTGAATATCTGTCCAACTTCCTTGCTACCCTCACCAATCGCAGCAGTCTAGCTGTCTTCAGAAGACCTATTAATGTTGTTGTCTGTAAAAATAAGATATAAATAGAAATTTATTTTGTTTGTTAGCAAAGGTGCTTTCATTACTAGTCAGCATGAATAAACCAGTGTAAATTCCATTATTCTGGGGAATCAAAAAAGCCAGTAGATTAACCCATTTCACTGTATCTTAATTTTCTTTGAACTAACAAATTTATTATAAAAACAGTGAAGCAAACAATAAGAAATGCACATTTTAAAGTAAAGTAGAAGTAGAAGTTGTCATCATCTGCTGAATATCTTTTAACTTTGAGTATTATTCTCCATGTGGACACTTCAGTCCACCCTAGTGGACTTAAATGATCCATTATGATTCATGATGTTTTGACATGATAAATTCTGTAAGTTATTGGAACTACTCATAATTATATGACTGGCCTTCTAGGTAGTAAGCATTTACAATGTTTGAACAAAGATGTGTGACTGTATTTGGTCCTAACTTAGAGAATACTTGCAATACTCTGGCACATTTGTTGTAGAAGAGAGAAGAAATAGAGCAGAAATGTCCCAAGGAATAAGTATCCTATTCTGTAAATGTTCTTCCTATTTGTAATGGTCAGAACACTCTATACAGGTAAAAGAAGATGAACCACTGTGAAGAGAGAATCATGGAAAAGTTACTGTTGCCAGACTCCAGATTGATCTTCTTTTTGCATCTTTTATGCTGAAGCTTGCAGAGGTAGTGGTAGAAGCCGCTAATAAAATTACTACACCATTAAAAAAACCTATATGGGTCAGTTATAAACCAAGAATATATTTCAAGCTTTTTAGTGCAGACCTTCACTATGATTCACTGTAGCCCCTTTGAGGCTCTGATATTTTTAAAGGAATCTAAAGTTCATTAATATAAATTTACAATTTTCAATCAGTAAATTGTTTTCATACTTGTTAATACCTTGTAAAAGAGATTGGCAACATTGCAAATAGTAACTACACAATTTCAGAAAGAACTCAGCTACCTTTTCCCCTCCATTAAGTGTGAACATATATTAAAGTATTCAGTAAATGTCAATGCCAAATAAGTTTTTAATAAGTTTTTTTTCCTTTTTTTAACATATAGGTATATAACATAACACAACTGGAAACAACTCTGGTTGTAGTATGTGTCATGTTAAAGCTTTCTTTCAACAAGTACTAGGCTCGTTTTTATGTTTTATTACATCCTTGCATTTAACATATTTCTGAGTAAAATCTCAAAGCCCTTTGAACAAAATAAGAGGCTTTCTTAGCTGCATTTGTCAGTGGGCAGTTCAATATATTCATATTTTCTGAGTAAATGAGCAAGAAGATAATGTAGGGTAACACTGGGTAACACTCCTTGGTTCAACTTCATCACATCAACATCACAGAGAAAAATTTCAGGGTGAATTTCTCATAGCCATGTAAAGAAGGCTGTTTCATTGATTGTGAGCTCAAGAGTCTGAAAGACCACATCCTTCAAAAGGTATGCTTAGGCTGAGCTTCAGCATGTGAGTATTGCCACTAGGTACCTTTTTTTTTTTTAAATAAAAAAAGCCTGATAAACCAGGCTTGAATATTTATGATTTCTTAATGAAAATAGCAATTTTAAGAAAAGATAACATTTGTTCTTAGAGGGGTGTTGGAACCATTCTATTACAGATGTAGTCATATCTCTACACCATGCAAGAGGCAACATATTCTTACAGTGCCCCTTAAACAGATCAGAATGTAGATTGTGAATCTAAAATGTGTCGTGGTCCACCCCATTCTTAAGATAAGACTTCCTAATGTTACACATCCTCGGTGTTAATCCCATCCTTAAATACTGCATCAGCGGGAGCTCTGGAGTATGCTGGAGGTGCATAATACAAGCAAACTCCCTCTGTTCAGGTTGAAATCAGCATGAGTGGGACTAGACATACTTTACATCATCAAGAAACTCATCCTGAGTTTGAGTTTTCTTTAACATGGTAGAGAGGCTTTGATATTAAAATACATCTGACAGTGGAGAGGGAAAGCACGAACCATAGGTTTTGGCATTCATTTACAGTCCACCTCACATGTATCACTTGGCCCTGACCAGAAATACTTGGTGCCAGAGCTAGGCCTCATGCAATTTAATTTCCTTGGTGTGCTGGAATACTTTGCTCAGCATGGCAGCCAAGGAGGCAGAGGTCCTACTGTGTCAGTTACCCACCTTACCCCATCCAGTGCCAGCAAATAGCAATCTGATAGGTGCTGCTCTTCTTTGAATTGCTTGCTGCTCTGTTTTCATCACACCTAGCTTTATCAAATGGCCTACAAGTTCAAGAGATGCTGGATAACCACATCAGGATTAAAAGTGTGTTGGGTTTTTTCCATTTTGACTATAGTAATAGTGCAAAAAATAAACAATACATCATGCCTACATGGTTCTCTCCACAAGCTAAGTAACCACATAGAAGACTGCTTTATTTGTTTTGGAATAATTATTCAGTTCTGCTAATAAAAATCTTGAGAAATGTTAAAGTTTGTCAATTATTTTTTCTCTGGGGGAAAAAATGACCTTCTAAAAACAGGAGTTCATGGATACTACATTTTCTAAGGTCACTGAATTTATTTTACAAAATCCTTATATATTACAAGGGAGTATCCATAACTCTGATTAGTCTTTTTTAACAGTGAGATTAGTTTATACCCTCAATTTCTCAAGCCCTGATGCTGACATTAACCCAGCGGGGGGCTATTTTGACGGACAGCAATTGATTACAACATGATTTGAAAGAGGAGGGCATCAGTCTATCTGATTTCAGAGAGTATAATTTGGAAGTTGTTACTGTATTAGACTGGAAGAGGGAGCTGGTATCACCTAATTAATTATCTGCATAAATGGTATTCTGCCTGTGCAAAAAAGCCATTTACAATTCATGACTTTCTGACTGATGGACAAATCCTTAAGTTTCCTCTAGATTTTTGTGGGATTTTTTTTCTTTTTTCACAACATCCATTATCATTATTGTATAAATCTATAATGTGATCTCTTTTTTAAAACAAAGAACCCACTGAAGTGTATGAGTAGCTCAAACTGTCTCTTCCAACATGCATTAATGTGCACTTGCTTACATCGTATTTCATCTGCTAGGCTTGTTTCCATCTTCCTGGTATTGTAAGGTTTCTCAATAATTTCCTGCCACCTATATTTTATGTTAAAATCGTCATCAAGCTTCTACCTTTTTTGCAGCCTGTAAACAAATCTATTAAATATGAGTCCTATAGCATCAAGCATAGTTAAGTCTTTTCTCTCTCTTGGAAAAATCTCTAATATATGCCAGAATTTGGCCTTTCAGTCTATGCTCCATTACCTTCATAGCCTCTTCTGAGCACCGTGTCATTGTTGAAGATCTTTATGCTGTATGCATCATGATACTGAAAATGTTAGTACAAACAGCAATTAAACAAAAATATTTCAACTAACCAAAACTTCTTATTTATAGCAGGGTACTGGTACTTCAACTGCCATTGATAAAAGACTGCCAAAATGGTCTACGAACAACTGCCTGCTCAAGCAGTGCTAGGGTTCCTTTTTTCTTCATCTTGAAAAACAATCAAGGAAAGAAAATCAAGGCGCTAAAGTACTGATTCAGTCAATTGAGATGTAGTCAGGACCATTAGGTCTCTAATTCTAGAAATGTGGGATTATTCTCTTTTTTAAAGTTTGATTTAACAGATATACTGTGTAATGGAGTCAAGACATCAAACTAAGAGAAGAACAAAAGTACTTTCATTTACATATCTCCATTTCAGCCAAACCCCATCTATTTTCTTGATTTATTGCTACGAATAGAAGACACATTCACTCTTACATTTTGTGAGTATGCTGGATATATACACCATGATGTATTTATTTTTATTTAAATTTACAAAAGCCAAAGCCTTCATGGTTTCCTGCATATTTCAGCTGAGTGTTCTCTCTGGTCTCAATTTGATAAAACTATAAATATGAGAATTTTCTTGCTAAGGCTGATATTATAATTTGTCTGTATGTTTTATTGCAGTAGGTTATAGATGAAAGGGAAGAAACTGGTAATCTATATATCCATTTGATTTTTCCCAACAATGTACCTGTCTTTGAAGTGAAAAGCAGATCAATACATTAAAAAGCACATTATTTTAAATTTATATATTTTAAAATATCTAGTAATTAAGCAGCATTCCAGTTGTACATGCACATCACTTACGTGTGTGCTTTAAGGAGCTGTGCCATTGCAACTATTATTTGTTTAAATTCCAATGCAGACTCCTCAGAAGAACAGAATGATTAAAAATAAACTAACAAAAGAATAGAAAGTAAAAAGTCCATCTACTCATTATTTTTATCTTCCCAAGCATCAGAGATGTCCTTTAACATTTAAAATACACAAAAAAGAGAGAATGGTTTACTACCAGCCATAATAATTCTCTGTTGAGTCTGCTTAAACATAAAAAAAAAAATTAGTTCTCTCTTTTAGAAATTGGAAAGTTAACTGTCTTACTCTGTTGATTTCCTATGGTTGACAAAGTATGGCTCAAATGGAAGCATTCAGATAGTGCCACATGTGGTATTTGGATTATTATCTCCTGCCCTTTCTAGACTGGGTTTGATATCAAGGTGTTTTGAAGCTGGGTGAGCACATACGGAGCTCTCTTTGGAGCTTATGTTGTTTAATAAAAAGACTGTTCAATACAATTGTTCATAGGGTACTTCATTTGAAGAATCTCTAGATAACAAAAAAGAGCTATTTCATAAAAAAGATAACCTTTATGACTGAAAAAATTCTATTAAATAAAAAAATGCTTCATTCTAACAGTTTTATGTTTGCTTCTTGCTAAACTCTCAAAAAAGGATCATTGCGGAAGTATTATAGTTAGCAATATAGGAAGCAAAACTGCAGTAAGTAGCAGCTTATAAAAAGTGATTGACATATTCAATACTATGAATGAGAGAGAGAAGTCATGATGGCATAATGAACTGGTCATTATCTGTATATTTTCATTGCTGCTTAGGTAAACAAACTAGTTATTCCAGATAGTGAAATTGTTGAATTACTAGGTTTTGAGGGAGTAAAGAATTAATTTATTTATATCTGCAATACTAAAAAAGTCATTACATTGTCCAATAATTTCTGTTCCACATTTTTGTATTTGTGTATTCACCTGCCAGAATGAACTTGTTTGTGAGTTATTTGTAACATTATCTTATGTTAAAGTTATCCCTTTAGCGTCACTTTAGCACCTGGCACTTCACTATTGAGTATGTTTGTAACAGGGGAGGTGTGGTGTGGAAGAATTATATTCAGGGTCAAATCCAAACTGCACTCCTTCAATGAACTTTGGAATTGATGTTCCACACTTCCAATCACTGAACACAATTTTTGGCAGTGATGAATGCTCAGTGATCAAAGAGATGCAGACCACATCTGAAGGGGAATTATGTAGTCCAGGTTAGAAGTAATGTCATTGTCAAACTGTCTTTCATGTGTCTGTGCTGTCAAAACCACAGAAAAAATATCTACAGAAAGACTAAGACCTACCACAGATAATGAATGCAAATGTGAACAACGTTTCTCTTGAATCTCTGAGCTTTTTAGTTACCTTCAGAGTAGCAAAGTTCTCTCTTGGTAAGAGAACTATTAACGTGTTCCCTCTGTTCTTTATATTACTTCCTCTCTTCTTATTGCATTCCTTTAACAAAATTTATTCCTACTGCATGCTATTACCTACATGTTTCTCCATATTCCTCATTTACCTTTAGTGTGTATGCTTATGTTCAAATTAGGAGAAATATCGCTATTGATAAGGAACATTACTATTGATTTCTATGAGTGCTGAATTAGACCACATTATTATAATGATATTTTAAAAGTACAGGACACAGGAAAATATTTTCACTATATAAGATTTAGAAAATGAGTTTTAGAAAAGCATGACTGATATACTGATATTTGTCTTACTTCTGAGATTTTAAGACTCAATATGCTTACAAGACTCTCAAGGTGCAGGAGGTATGTGCCAGTTGTTTTATACTGATCCTTAAATGAATAATTAATCAAGTTTACATGTAATTTGTGAGGATAGCCAGGGTATGCTCAGAATTCAGATCAGGCTTTTGGGGTAGACATTAAAAGTATTTGCTGTCACAGCAAATAACTTTAATGAAAAGGAATTAATTTTTAAACAAAAACATTTTTGCATTCCCTGTATCATGACATGAACGCATACAGTCAGATCAGCAAATTTTTATGCTAAAGTTTGCTGATTAGTTTGTAGCTTTCACCTTTCTCTTCTCAATTAATGAGATATACATATGGTTGACAAAATTGTCCGTTTCCCGTATGTCAATATGTGCAAAACTAATTTTAAGAAAGGGATTTGTGTCCTTTGAAAAGTGAAAGGATCATATTTTGCTTGGTTTGCTGTTTTTTTTTTTTTAAACTGTTGTATTCTGAGCATCACAAAACCCCCTAATTCTCTACTTGCCAGTTCACTTTTAATCAAAAAAAATGTTATAACTTTAGCTATTCTTAAATTAAATAAAATTCTTTTGCAGGAGGCAGAACTGGGTCAGGCAGCCAGAACATAATGTCTGTTTTATACACCTTTGGGCAATTTTTGGATGCATATATTGAACAATTTTTTAACCTATTGTACAGGTAGGATGAGGACATTAGTCATGTCTGGCAAGGTTAACCCCATATAATCTTTTTTTTTTTTATTTTGGTTGTTGGTTTTTCATATTCTAAAAAAATAGCCACCAGCCATATCTTTTTGTTAACTGGTATAGTGTACAGCTAATTGGTTTACCCTGAGTAAACATCTGATCTAAAGATTTTCAACAGAGAAAATTTATATTAATGCTTTAATGCCAACACAACACTTACATACATTATGAGCAGTTTTTACCAAGCAAGCAGCAAATCAAAGGAGCAGTTCTTAAACAAAAGTATTTGAACAAATCCTTCACAAATGATCTATTTATGTCATTATTTGTAAATATAGTACATATAT